TGACTGAGAATCTAGCACTTCTCCACTTGTCGCTGCACTTTGAGTCTCAGCAGAAGCTATGATCGTCTGCCTTTAGAGGCCTCGGATCCTGAAGATTAATTTTGGCAGAAGCACCGTGTAGGCTTTTTCTGCAAGGAGCAGCAGCTGACTGAATTTTCATAAGAAATCTGGACTGCAGTACTGACTCTGTAGTCTTTAGCCAACAGTCGCTTTCATAAAGACCATTCCTTATCAGCTCTGAAAGACTATGGATTCTTTTGTGAAGGAGAATAAAGCTAATGTGTGTTCTTGTAAAATTGAGTTTTACCTTTATTCCCTCTCCTGAAAAATCTGCATACCCAGGAACTGAAAAATCTTTAAACAGATACTGAGAATCAGCGTAAGTATATGAAGTTGTGGAGGGATAAAACTGTTTGCTTTTCTAAATATCTTTGATTACATGAATATAATAAATTGTGTGCATATAAATGTGTGTCTATATGCTTTCCTTTAAATATGTTGAAAACATGTTTGAAACTTGATTATACTATTTATAATCGGCACAGTACTTTGAATTATGCCAGTACCACATTGTAAAACAGAGTTGTATTTTTTGATATTTAACAATGCTTAACACTTTAACATGCCACTTCTGAGGAATGGATCTGGTGTAACACACTTGAATATGTGTGATGCCAAACTTTTTAAAATAAAATATAAATTATGCTTATTTATTATTTTCTTTACTTTATTCTTGGTCATGTTTTAATGTGTGTTTTTATGTTTATTTTCTTAAAGTAACACTTTGGCATGAACATACCTGCAGGTTTTTGATGAATATAATGAATGTATGGAATTTAACTGAATTTGCATGGTCTTAAGAATTTTTCTGTGTGTATAAATTTAGCTGCTATTAACAGACGAGAGCTTTCTGTGAGTAGCCATATGCTGATCAGATACAGTTTTTCTGAGATCAACGAATCTCACTTTAAAGATGACCAAAACATGTCTTTCTTGAATTCTCTTTGAATAAAAGTTTGTATATTATTTGTTCCACAATGTTCTTTATTCTTTTCTAGTTAGCTTACTATTCAGAAAGCTGCCTGTTCAATATTTTTGTTCTTGTGTTAAGTGTGCATTGCCTAACTTCACAAATCTATAGATTGAGTTTCTTGTCTTAATAATCAATGAGATGTGGCGTTCCTTAGGAGAGGGATTTAAATGGTTAGCATGAGTTGTTCACAAAACAGTTGATGATCATGAGTTAAGAAATGTATGCTAGGATGAGAAGGTGGCTCAGTGGTAGAGCGCTTGCCTAGCAAACATGAGGCCATGGGTTTAATTCCTCAGCACCACATAAGCAAAAACAAAAAAAGCCCGGAAGTGGTGCTGTGGCTCAAGCGGTAGAGCGCTAGCCTTGAGCTGAAGAGCTGAAGGACAGTGCCCAGGCCCCAGAGTACAGGCTCCAGGACCAACAAAAAAGAAAAAAGAAATCCTTAAAATAAAAAAAGAAATGTATGCTAACATTTTAGTATAGATTGTTCAAATTGAAACAGAACCATGTCACGCAGTTGACTTTTTCATTGTAAATGAAAACCCAACTTCATTTGAAAAACGAATTTCTCATTCATGTGGCTGCACCACACATCCATTGTTAACAGATTGGCTGGTCAGTTTGGAATAGGTCACCTCCATTATGAAATAGGTCACTTCATTGGAGTTCTCTCAGCTATTGTTGGAACGTGAGGTCCTCATCTCTCCTTGGCCATGCTGTGTTCTCACAACATACAGCACTTTCAGGACTAGGTGTGTGTGGACTTGGTTCTGGCGCTATCTTCCTGGGAAACCTACCTGGAGAGTATCAGATCCCTTGGATTGTGGGCTCAGCCTCACCAAGCGTGCCATTTGCAGATGTGTACCACTGGCTCATTTGTACTTGGCTGGGCGGGGTATTAAAGCCATTGGTACTTGTGACCGATGGGTACCACGCCAGATTCTGTGCCCATCCTCTCTGGTTTTATTTATTTATTTTTTCCTCTCTGGTTTTAATTTCACGCCACCTTTCCACCACCTTCACATGCTTACAAGCCAGAAGGTTATCTTGTCTTACTCCAGAATTTTCATAGAGCTTGCCTTTGTAATCTCCCACTTCCCTGAAGTTTCTGGGTGGCGCTCAGAGTTCTAACCTCAGATCCACATGCACTTGGTCTTTCTGAGGGTGGCAAGGACCCCAGTCCAAATTATTAGCATGAACTCCTCTGATCAAAGGAGGCTCAGTGAGAAACAGGACACTCCTGTTAGCAGGAAATTCCGGGGGGTGTTGGGTCAAGACCAAGTGTACTTCATTTCACACTTACAAACACTTAATTTTCCAGGAAAAACAACCTTATCAAGATGTATCTACAAAGATTTTCTTGAAATAAAATTTCAGTCTAGGGTAACAAAATCTGAACTACTTGACACATCAAACACGCGTCTTAATCTCCTTGAAGCGGAAATAGCCATGCCGTGCTTTGCCAAGGCTTGTCAATAGCCGGACACATAACTTTGATTTTACGTGCTTTGGACATACAATCTTCCTAACCCTATGGCAGTTGGTCAAGTTTGAAATGTCTTATGTTTTTGTGGCAAAATGAGGTCTTCCTAGCAGCTAATTTTCTTATTGTATTAAAAAGAGATCATATGTTAAGGCAAAGAGTATTTGTCAAGAAAACAGATAGAAGCAGGGCTCAAGGCTGGATCCCTGCTGCCTTCCTTTGCTTGAATCTGGGGTCAGGTACCTGGCGTGTGGGCTGCCAAGAGTTCCCATTCTTTCCTGTTCCATATGCCTCTGGTGTACAATTCCCAGTATTTATCTCCATGCATTGTGTTACTATGGAGGCCCTTGATATTCATGATCTCAGCTGCATAGCAGGAACACTGTCTTGTTCAAGATTTGTCCTAAGAAAATTGCCTCTTACTGACTTTCATGACTGCTAATTCTTTGTTCTGGAGAGAAGTCTACATGGGAAAACTTAACCCTCAAGATTCTGGGGTTCTAGCTGAGTGCCAGTGGCATATTAGGCCCGGAATGCTAGCTACTTAGGTGGAGATCTGAGTCCTGGCTTGAAGTTAGCCCACACAGATATGAGGTATATGACTTATCTCCAAATAATCTACAAGCTAAGGGACAGTACCAAGGCCTGGGTTCAAGCCTCAGTCCTGGCACACACACACACACACACACACACACACACACACACAAAGGTTCTGGGAAATCCTGGGTTTTGAACAGTTTAAAAGAAGGAAAAACTGCAGTATTGGGAAAGTCATCTGTGTTCTGCTCTTGAGTACTAGTTGTTAGCTGTGGCTTCTTCAGTGTATTAGTCAACCCTTTAACCTATTTTGTCACCACTAAAATGACAACAGTAGTGTTATACCTCTTACAACGTTATCAAGAGACAAGGGGAAAAAATACTGCTTGTGAAATGTGATTGAAAGTCAGAGCCCTCTAAGTTACAGTGTTGCTGTTTTCTGAGCCTACCAGTTCTTCACTGCTGTAAATGTGGAGGATCTCTGCCTGCATTCCTGTCCAGCTCCACATCTTCAAGGTGTGGGACCCTTCCACACAGACTCGCCTGCTTTGATTTAGAAAATACAATCCCGGTAGAATTCTAAATGAGCAATAGTAACCAACATGCACTGAGCAGGTTGAGCAGATGTATGTGTGTGTGTGAGAGTTGCTAGGGATGGTAGGCAAGTGCTGTACTGTGAAGCTACACCTTTAGCTTACAAGGAACACTCACGTATCAGATAGTACTAGTAAATGGCTAAGCCTGGTAAGTCTGATCACGATGTTTGTTCATTTTGTGTGTGTGTGTGCACAGTGTTGGTACTAGGGCTTGAACTAAGGACCTGGGCACTGTCCCTTAGCTTTTTAGCTCAAAGCTGGAACTCTACCAACTTGAGCCGCAGCTCCATTTGTAGCTTTTTGGTGGTGGTTAATTGGAGATGTCTCGCCGATTTTTCTTCCTAAGCTGACTTCAAATCGTGATCCTCATTCAGCCTCCTGGGTAGCTAGGTTTACAGGTGTGAGCCACCAGGTCCCCTCCCCCCCCCCCCCCCCCCCCCCGCCAAGTTCTTCCTGGTGCACATTTGATAGGACAGCAGGTTTGGGGCGGGGGTGGGGAGGAAATCGGCCTTCAGCACAGTGAGTCACCTGTACCATCAGGAAGTGAGAGTCGTAGCTGAGGTAGTCAAGCAGAGTCCTCGACGGGAGTGAAAGGTTGGGCTTTCACATCCTTGCCTTGGCCCGCCGCCGACGTCGTGCTGGGGAGGAGGGGGTCTGGAGGCTCGTCCGGGGTGGTGCACCCCCACATCCAGTGCGGGCTTGGCCTGGGCGGCCCGCAGTCGGGGACTGAACACCCGCGGTGCTCGTTTCCTCGGCTGCCGGCTTCATCTGCCTAACAATGCAATTAAAAACATCTCTTAAGAGATGGTATCAAAGGCTTCGATCCACCCGCGATGCTCTCATCCGCGGGAGGAGCACACCCGTGCACGCCCCGAGAGGGGGCGGAGCGGGCCTGGGGCCACCGAGCACGCGCGTCCCGCCTCGGGGCCGGGCCTGCGCGCTCGCGGTTCTCTCCCGCCAGAATTCGCCGGGCCTCTGAAATCCATCTTCCATTAGGAGGGTTCATCAAAGACCCGGTGGGTCCGGGCCTCCGTGGGGTGAGGACCGCGGTTGCCTAGGCGACGCGGGGTGATGCCCGAGGCGGTGTCCGTCCAGCCCCCTCGCGCCGTCACGCGCGCTCGTGCTGTCCCCTCCTCCAGATGTGCGACAGCGCCGACCATTGGTCGGATTCCAGGGTCTCACTATCCTCACTCCATCCGCGGAACCAATCGCTGGCACCGCCAGGGATTAGTTAACCTGAGTCACACGCTGCCGGTACGGTGCTGACCAATCACCGAGTCGAGAGGGCGGGGCTGGAGACAAGGCTGGCCAATAACGGAAAAACGAACCGGCCGTGGCCTCTAGACTCCACCCCCGGTCCGGGGTAAGTAGGGTCTGAGGCGGCAGCACCTGCTCGTGGTGGGTGACCGTGGGTGAGGTGGCCTCGCGGCCGTGCAGGTGAGTGGACTTGGGGCGCGGGGAAGCCGGCGGGCGGGCCGGGCGGCGGAGGTTGCAGACTGCTTTGAAGTCTCGGCCGTCACACTCAGTGGTGGGACTCGGGTTGGCCCTGCCGGGGCGGGGGAGGGGAGGAGGCGTGTGACTGCTGCCTGGGCCGGGGATGGGCCGGGGCCGGGAGCCCGAGGTTCCTGAGGGAAGAATAGGAGTTGCTTAGCCCGCGCGGGATTGCTGGAAGCCTGGGCCTCGGAAGGATGGCGGGTGGGGGACGCGGGGTGAGGGAGGCCTGGCCGGGCCTCTGGGGCATCGCGGAACCGGGACGGGAGTCGGACCCTTGGCCCTGGACTGACTGTTTTACCGCGGACCAGGCCGGTCCTGCCGGGGAGGTGGGTCTTAGAGGCAGGCGCATCGGTCCCGCAGCCCTGGGCGTCTCCGCCCGGAGGGAGAGCCGGGAGACTTTCCTCCGGGGAGCGGGGACGGTGTCGGGCATGGCGACGCGGGTGGGCTGCGGGAGTATTCGGGACGGGCCTGGGGGACGCGCTCGCTGGAACGTCCCGGGTGGGGTTGAAGTTGGGCCTGGTGTGTACTGGGCGGAGAGGGTCAGTGTTGAACACTCTGGAAGCGTGTGTGTGTGTGCGCGCGCCGGAGGAGCCAGGCCCGAAGCTTGAACTCTGGGCCTGGGTGCCGCCCCTGACCTCCCCCCCACCCCCAAAGTTGGCTCTCTACCACTTGAGCCACAGTGATGTTTTCATTGGAGGTAAGAGTCTCATGGACTTTCCTGCCTGGGCGGGTTTTGAACTGTGATCCTCAGATCTCAACCTCCTGAGTAGCTAGGATTACAGGCCTGAGCCACCACCATCACCCAGCGAGAACCTGAGTGGAAGCAAGCTGGCCGTCCGCTTACTTTAAAACAGGAAATAGGTCATGTACAATAATTAGAAGGGAGTAAGGGAAAGTGTCCCTTGAAAACTTAACAGATTCAGTTGGCAGGTCTTCCTGGTTTAGTCTTTGATTTAGTGCTGCCTGGGTCACAACTTCTCCAGTAACTCCCCAGTGACTGTTGTAATCTGATTACGGTACCCTCAGGCTCCAGGTTTCAGAGCTCCTGTGTAGTTAGCATGTTTCTCAACAATTTCTCTGCTCCCCTGTGCCCTGGAGTCCTGGTATTCTTTCCTCTATAATTCTTGTCCCATCATAGAATGGTGGTTTGGTTATGTCTGTGTTCCTCACTACCTTTTCTGTTTGGGGAAGTCGGGGTAAGGACAGCTACTTGAGGAGTAGAGAGTAGTAACTAGTGACAGAGGTCATATAATGTCCAGGAACCAAGAAGGAATATCAAGGAAAGAAGTATCAAGTCTTCGAGATGGTTTAGGTAAAATGGATTCTCAAGAATATTGGTTATGTATAATGTGTGGAAATCCTTCCTTGTATTAAGCTAAAGAGAGTGGAAGAAAGGAAGAGAAGGGAAGATAATAGACAAGGAGAGAGAGAGGAAGGAGTAATGTTTGCTGGATTTGGCATTTAGGTGATCCTTAGTGGTTTTGGTCTTTAAACCCCGGGCTCTAAATCCAGGAGTTCCAAGTTAGGTCCAGCCACGTTCCCCTGTATGCTAAATAAAGAGAAGTCTCAAAAAAAAAAATTACAAAATGATGATGGGAAGACAGCACTAGTACATCTTTCGTTGTCTTTGGTCTTAGGTTAAATAAGGAGAATTGAGGACAGGGAGTGGGAAAGGTATTGTGGTTAAAACAGTCCCTGGTCAGAGCTGTGTGGCTTGGTTGAGTTTTGAGAAGTTAGTGATTTTATTACTGGAACAGAACAGGAACAAGATGGTCCCGCGCTTGGGGCTGTTTGATTTAACATGACAGGAAGGCATTACTTGCTTGAGGGATGGTTTGCTATCCACACAAAATGGTTATCACTGAATCTTCTCTTTTATTCTGCAGACAAGGTGGTTGCAAAGGGACCACAGCAGAGAATAGCTCAGAGCAGGAGGCACAGATAAAAAGTTGGAGGGTTTTTAGTTAATTCCCAGGACCCAAGACAGATGCAAAAACATCTGTTGAGTTTCGATGAGAGTAACTGCAGCTGGGTGATGGGAAGGAAAACAGATTGCAGTTCTAGAAAAGAACTATAGCCAGGCACTGGTGGCTCATGCCTGTAATCCTAGCTACTCTGAGGATCACGGTTCAAAGCCATACTGGGCAGGAAAGTCCATGAGACACTTATCTCCAATAAACCATAGAAAATGGCAAGTGGTGATGTGGCTCAAGTGGTAGAGTCCTTGCCTTGAGCTGAAGAGCTGAGGGACAGCGTCCAGGCCCAGAGTTCAAGCCCCACGACCGGCCCCACCCCACCCCCCCTCAAAAATATATATATGGGCGAAGATGGAGACAGCTCTATAGCATACTCTTCAGAGGCCACACACTGGTGGCTCACACCTCTAATCCTAGCTACTCAAAAAGCTGAGATCTGAGGATCGCAGTTTGAAGCTAGCCCGGACAAGAAAGTCAGTGAGACCCTTTATTTCCAATTAACGACCAAAAAAGCTGGAAGTGGAGCTGTGGTTCAAGTGGTAGAGTGCTAGCCTTAAGAAAAAAGCTCGGGAAATAGTGCTCAGGGAGTACTCCTTTATTTTGATTTTACTTTTTAATAAATAAATTAAACCATTCCTGGAGCTTGAACTCGGGGCCTTCTCTTGGCTTATTTGCCACACTTGGCATTTTGCTAGTTTATTGGAGGTGAGTCTCACAGACTTTCTTGCCAAGGCTGGCTTTGAAACATAGTTTTCAGATCTCCGCCTAGTGAGTTGCTAGGATTACAGGTGTGAGCCACCTGTGATGTCTTGTACTTTATATGGAGGAATTTCTATTTATAGAACTGCCACTTGGGTTATATAATTTGCTCCAGGATACGTGACTGATAGGTGTGAGTCAACATTGCCAAATCTGTGATAATCTCAAGAAAAATGAAAATTGGAGCAGTTGTCAGGTTTTGCAACTTTGAAGGCCAATTAGTGTGGGTGAGGACGTAGGGGAGGAGTCACCCCTTTTCTTTGTTGGTCCTGGAGCTTGAACTCAGGACCTGGGCACTGTCATTGAGCATTTGTGCTCCAGACTAGCGCTTTACCAGCTAGCTTCCAGCTTTTTTTTTTTTTTTGGTAGTTTATTGGAGATAAGAGTCTCATCAACTTTCCTGCCTCAATTTGCTTCAAATGGCAATGTTCAGATTAGCCTTCTGAGTAGCTAGGATTACAGGTGTGAGCTGCCAGTATTTGGCAGGAATTGGCACTTGATGACCAAGAAGTTGGTGGGTTAGGGTTAGTGAGATGAGGCTTTGCCATCTTGACTCAACAGTGGTTAGAAATTAAGAGACTTTCTTTTTGTTTTTTTCTTTTGAGACAGGGTCTCACTGTGTAACCCAGACTGGCCTCAAACTCCTAATCCTTCTTCAGCCTCCTTAGTGCTGGGATAGAACAGTTTTTCTCTGGAAAGGAATGTTCAGATTTTTTTTTCTCTGCACACTGTCTCCTTGAGTGCTGTCAGACAGTGTGAGCCACCTGCGTCTGACTCAAATGGATCATTGTTAATTCATAAATTAGGTACAGGGGCTGGGAAGGTGGTTCAGTGGTAGAATGCTTGCCTTGCATGCATGAAGCCCTGGGTTCAATTCCTCAGCACCATATAAACAGAAAAAGCAGGAAGTGTGCTGTGGCTCAAGTGGTAGAGCTCTAGCCTTGAGCTGAAGAGCTGAGGGACAGAGCCCAGGCCCAGAGTTCAGGCCCCACGACCGGAAAAAAGAAAAAAAAAAAAAAAGGTACAGCAGTGAACATTTTCAGGAAGTTACTTTCTTTTTGACCTTTTCTCTCTTAAATGCTTACTTGATTTTTGAGATGGGGTGTCATTGGGCGGCCTAGGCTATATTTTTTTTACAGTTTTACTTCAGTATCTACTAGTTAAGATGGTGACGACATTCAACAAACTTTTCTGTCAGTCATGTATTTAGCAACTGAGAAATTGGCACTAGTTTATAATTCTTAAGAGCTAACTGAGGATGTATTTTAAAACTGTTCTTTACAAACAATTACACTTAGTGGTGCTATGGCTCAAATGGTAGAGTGCTAGCCTTGAGCTGAAGAGCTGAGGGACAGCTCTCAGGCAGAGTTCAAGCTCTACCACCGACAAAAAAAAAAAAATTACACTTGACGTGATAAATTAAGCAGGACTCTAAACATTTACATAGTCAGACCAAAGGAGGATATTCTTAGGAGAGGACCATTCGAAGGCTTAATAGCTATGTGCATATGATCATATAAAAGGATGCGAGAACTTCAATGAACTTCAAGAAATGGAAACAAGATGTTTTTTTTTTTTTTTAATTGTACTGTTTGTGATTTTTTTTCTTCTTTCCTTTTTTCTTTAGTTTATTCCCTTCTGTTACTGGTTTTTTTCCCCCTGTACCCTTTGTCCTGTATATGTTTATCTGATTTTGGGAGGGGAAAGGGCAGCACAGAAATGGTGGCCCAGAGGATGATACTCAGCACTGATACTCAGACATGCTATGTTGGAAATGAACTACATAACTTGGGGGAGAGGAGGGTCAGGAGGGAAAAATCTGGGAGAAAAAAAGGGAAAAGATGAGACTGCTTGTAAAGAAGTGTTCTCTATGCCTGACTTATGTAACTGTAACCCCTCTGTGGATCATCACCTTTACAATAAAAAAATTCTTTCAAGAACTGTTCCTTAGAGTTACCTGGCTTGGCTTGTGTGTCTGCTTGCTCTTGCAGAACCGTAAGGCTCCCTTGGAGACTTGAAGCATGGCGGTGAATGCCAGTGTTGCAGTCTTTGGCTCTGCGGCTTTGGCGGTGGAGTATGTGGATTCACTGTTGCCCGGGAATCCTCTGCAAGCCCCCTTTAAAAATGCGTGGAATTACATGCTGGATAACTACACCAAGTTCCAGATTGCCACGTGGGGGTCCCTGATAGTTCATGAAGCCCTTTATTTTTTGTTCTCTTTGCCTGGATTTTTATTTCAATTTTTACCTTTTATGAAAAAATATAAAATTCAAAAGGTGAGTCTGATAGATTTGAAATTGATTCTAAGTAATGTTGTTGAATATTGTTAAAGGCAATGTAGATTGGTTTGGGGACCCTTGAAATTAGTATTATCCAATCAATAGAAATGTAACAAAGCCACATACATCATTTTAAATTTTAAAATAGAATATTTTTCCCCAAGTAAGAAAGAAATGGAATTCTTTCAAAAGTGGTTTTATTGAACCCAATGTATCTAAACGGTGAAGTCTTTGGATTCAGTGTATTTTGTGCTGATCTTAGCCCATCTCATAAACGTGGGTAGTAGCTATGTGTTAGTTTGTGCTGTGCTGGACAACATGGCCTCAGACCATTATTGATAATGTCTTGAGAACTGTTTTCTGAACTTGAAGAGGATGTGTTTGTTAACATGTGTTTATGGATTTAAATTGAATTCACGGTAGAATGTGTGCACATGTGTGAGACCCTGGGGTCCATCCTCAGCTTGTACACACACACCCCTACCCTCACATACATAAAGAAAAACTAGCTGGAAGTGAAAAATGTGGGGGTTTGTGGGTATTATCTTGCCATTCTCCCCCTTGTTAATGTCCCAACAAACCTGAGTGGATACTAATAGGATTCATACGCAAAGACTTTGGCCAGGACTAGTGAGGATTCTGTTTTACCTCTCTCATACATGTGGTGGTTACTTTAAGATGCTGGAATGGTCAACTGTTGACTGATGAAGTATGTTGTGACATTGTTAACTTCCAATCTCTACCTTCCAAGTATTACAGATTTGTTTTTTGTTTTTGCTGGTCCTGGGTCCCTGAACTCAGGGTCTGGGCAATATCCCTGAGCTTCTTAGCACTCTACCACTTGAGCCACAGCGCCACTTCGAGCTTTTTCTGCTTATGTGGTGCTGAGGAATTGAACCCAGGGCTTCATGCATGTGAGGCAAGCACTCTACCACTGAGCCACATTCCCAGCCCATGGATTTGTTTTTTTGACTCAAGTGTCTTGCTATGTAGGTCAGGCTGATTAGGGCAAAAGCACAAGGCCCTATTTGTCTTTGAAGTTCCTCCAGCTCAGAAGCTTCATAATTCTGCCAGTGAACGTGAACAATATATACTGATTTCTTGTAATGGTGCCACCAACTGCTGGAAGAATTGATGGGTCTGGGTAGTGAAGCTTAGCTGGTGTGTAACCACACCACAGGGACCCTCACCTGTAGTCTTAGAGACACATAATCACTCTGAAGCTTGTGGACAGCGAGTGATCGTTAGGCAGCAGAGACCAGAAACCTATTCTGAAAAGCTTTGGTTGTTTTTGAGTCCTATCTGGGTTGGTGAGCCAGCTGTCTCTTCCCCTGTCCGAAAAGGTGCTGTCAAGAATTTAGAACGGAAGATGCTGTAAGTCTAAACCTTAGCCTGACCATAACATCAAATCAGCATAACACAGAATTAAGGTCTGTTAGACATACTGGAGAAAAAGTCAGTGTTCTCTTACAGTTGTCAAGCCAAACTGTAGAGGATAACAGACTAATGTTGAATATTATTTTTCTTTGTAGGATAAACCAGAAACATTCAAAGGCCAATGGAAATGCTTTAAAGTACTTGTCTTTAACCACTTCTGTATCCAGCTGCCCCTGATTTGTGGAACCTATTATTTTACAGAATATTTCAACATTCCTTATGGTTGGCAAGAAATGCCAAGATGGTATGTTGAGAACAATTTGACTTGACTTTTATAATCAGTCATGATTTTGTTTGTTTATTTGTTTTGTGCCAATCCTGGGGCTTGAACAAAGGTTCTGGGCACTCCCTGAGGTTTTTGTTTTTTTTTTTTTTTTTTTCAAGTCTGGAGCTCTACCACTTGAACCATGGTTCCACTTCTGCCTTTTGTAAGAGTTGTATAGGCTTTCCTGTCCAGGCTGGCTTCAAACTGTGATCCTCAGAGCTCAGCCTTCTGAGTAGGAAGACAGACATGAGTACCCCTTACCCCCCTCTCCCTCCCCTCCCCTCCCTGTGCCTGGCAATTTTAGTTATTTTTAATGTGTATCTTCTGCATTTGGTTCGTGTTTATTGCAAAGTTTGGAAGCCACCGTGAGAACTTAAAATGTCCCCGTTATTTTCCGGATTTCAGCGCACTGTTTTACTAAAGTGTGTCTTCAGAAATTTCCGTAACAACCTTTCTATGATTGCCTATAGATATATGTGCTTGTTGTAAGAAAAAAAAGCATGACATTTAAGGTGAAAATGAATAAAAAATATAAGACAATAGTTAGTTGATAAAATTATATCCTTGCAAAACTGAATATAGATATCCAATGTACAGATGCAGTTGTCCTTCCGTATCCTTGAATTCTATACCCATATTCAACCAGCTACAGATTGAAGTTATTTTTAAAAAAAAAAAAAAAATCTTGTATCTTGCTAGGTGATGGTGGCTTGTGCTGAGAGGTGAGTATCACAATTCAAAGTCAGCCTGAACAGATAAATCCAAGCGACTCTTTATCTCCATAGCTGTGAGTGGAAAAAACTACAAAGCTCAGTATGAACTAAAGGGCCTGAGTTCAACCCCCATGCTGGCACACACATAGACACGCAGAACGTTGCATAAGATGTGTTGGGCTATATGCAAGGGCTGTATAGCTTTGTATAAAGCTCTGGATTTGAGGGGCACCTAGTCTGTTCTCTATAATTATTGTCTTGGAAGAGTTTTTTTCCCCCACTTAACTATGAGTTTATGTGTATGGGTTTTGGGAAAACAAATAATGGTCTGTATCCCCTCATGTCAGGTTCTGTCCTATGGCCATATCTGTATTTTGAGAATTTTTGTTGATAAATGTATCAGGTCAAGCTGATACGTGGGTAATTGATTCTGTAGCATCTCCAGCATTGCTGTGCAGAGTCTAGATTGCTTAATGAATGCTTGCTGCCTTCTCTTATAGGTATATGATCTTGGCAAGGTGCTTTGGCTGTGCAGTCATTGAAGATACTTGGCATTACTTCCTACACAGGCTCCTACATCACAAAAAGATATACAAATACATTCATAAGGTTCATCATGAATTTCAGGTATGTGAGTGAGGATTGTATTTCAGACTTCCACTACTGAAATGGGATTTTGGGGCTTGAACTCAGGGCCTGGGCACTATCCCTGAACCTCTTTGTGTTCAAGGCTAGTGCTCTACCACTTCAGCCACACAGCATCCAGTTTTTGAGTGGTTAATTGGAGATAAGAGTCTCACATAGACTTTTCTTCCCCGGGCTGGCTTCGAATTGTGATCCTCAGATCTCAGCCTCCTGAGTAGCTAGGGTTACAGATGTGAGCCACTGGTACCACTCCCATTATCTAAATTTGAAGATAAGTTGACACCACAGAGAAAAATATCACAGGGAATAATTCACACTCACTCATCCTTTGGCCAGAGTGCTCTATTGGCAGATTGGTGGTGGCTCTAGGTCTCAGTGTTAGAGTCACTGAAATGAGACCCTAAAATGATTTTTAGCATAGTTTTATCACCAAAGCAAACTCTTCATACAAACAGACTTCTTTTAAGAAACAATTTTAGTTGTTTTGGAAATCAGAACTGCTTTGATGTTGTAAAACGGGCTGTGCCAGTATGTTCTGCTCTTGATTCCCTTCTTTTTTATTTTGGTTGGTCAGCTGTGTGGCTTGAACTCAGGTCCTACTCACTGTCCCTCAGCTCTTTTGTTCAACACCAGTGCTCTTACCACTTTTTTTTTTTTTTTGTCAGTCCTGGGCCATGAACTCTGGGCCTGGGCCTGGGCACTGCCCCTCAGCTCTTCAGCTTAAGGGGAGCACTCTATCACTTTCAGCTGCAATGCCACAGCTAGTTTTCTGGTGGCTAATTGGAGATAAGAGTCTCATAGACTTGGAAATGGCACTGTGGCTCAAGTGGTAGAGCGCTAGCCTTGAGCTGAAGAGCTGAGGGACAGTGCCCAGGCCCAGAGTTCAGGCCCCACGACCGGACCCAAAGGAAACAACAACAACAAAAGAGCCTAGCCTGACTTTGAACTGTGATCCTCAAATCTCAAGCCTCCTGAGAAGCCAGGACTACAGGCATGAGCCACCAACACCCAGCTCAATTCTGTTCGTATGCCAGGGGATAGCTCCTGAGCGCCCCAGTAATCACTGTGATATCTGCTAAATAACTAATGGCCTGGTTAGTGTATAAGGTGTGGATACATTGTGCAGGCCATGTTCACTCCCTGGGAGGTCAGATCATATTTTATTACATTACCCAGAATGACACGCAATTTGAACCATATGGATTGTTTCTGGAATTTCCATTTAAATTTTCAGACAGTAGATGACAGTGGATAAATATAGTCTCAGGAAACAACCATGTATAAAGAGGCACAACTTATTGAACATGTAACAATCAAGGATCTCTTGACATACAAACCACAAACATAAATAAAAAAAATGAACATTCATGTCAATTACTTACCACCTTCTGAAACACTAAAGATGTCCTTTATATCCCTAGACTTTTTTTTTTTGTTAAAGAGATACATTTATTGAAAACTACTATATACATATGACTAGATAACATTGCCAATGCAATAATTTTGTAAAGCTGTAAAATAGGATAAGTAAATGTGTGAGGATAAGTAAATGTGTGGAGTCTCCCTTACTCAAAGTCTATGGAGTAAATACAAGCGCATCTAGAAAATACCTTGGCTGCAACATGGAAACATGTCATGGCACACAGTTGGGCGTGAGGGTAACCCAGCAAGGTGACCATAACCCCAGCAGTGTGCTGAGGACTGCTTTGCTCTGCTTTAGGCTCCCTTTGGCATGGAAGCTGAGTACGCACACCCTCTGGAAACGCTGATTCTGGGAACTGGCTTCTTCATTGGGATTGTGCTGCTGTGCGATCATGTGATTCTCCTGTGGGCATGGGTAACCGTTCGCTTGATAGAAACCATTGATGTGCACAGGTGAGTTTTAATTTCTGTTTGGGTGGGAGGTATCATTGAATATCTTTATTTTCATAGTTATAAGATTATTTGTATTTCTAAGTAGACTACTAGGAAAAGTTAACCTTTTTCACATAGCTACTTTTAAGAGAATAGGAGATAATCATTACAGAAAAAGTCAAATAATGGATTTTTTTTTTTTTTTGTCGGTCATGGGGCTTGAACTCGGCCTGAGTGCTGTCCCTGTCTTTTTGCTCAAGGCTAGTGCTCTACCACTTTAAGCCACAGTGCCACTTCCAGTTTGGTTTTTTTTTTTGTTGTTATTGTTGTTCTGGTCTGGGGCTTGAGATCTGGGTGCTGTCCCTGAGCTTTTGAGTTCAAGGCTTGTACTCTGCAGTCATGAGTTACCAGTGCCTGGCTGAACCTAACTCTTGATTGAAAATACATTGAAGCCTTCAGCTCTCACAGAATAATACTATTTCTAGTTTGTATAGTCTAGCACGAATAAAAGCACTTACCATAGGCAATCCTTCTGTTGATTGGAAGACAACTTGTAAATTGTTTATATTATATTGAATGACTCAATACTCTTAATTTTTCATTGTTACAAAATTGTTTTTACTGCAATTTGGCTTGAACTGAAGTATACTCAGGAATGCAAAAATTTCAAGTTCTAAGTGTTATACTCCAAATTTAGATCTCAAAGGAGTACTCTTCAGTGGGATTCTTTTATTTATTTATTTATTTTGTTGGTCGTGGGGCTTGAACTCTGGGCTTGGGCGCTGTCCCTGCGCTCTTCAGCTCAAGGCGAGCGCTTTACCGCTGGAGCCACAGCACCACTTCTGGTTTTCTAGTGGTTTATTGGAGATAAGAGTCTCACAGACTTTCCTGCCCGGGCTGGCTTTGAACCATGATCCTCAGATCTCAGCCTACTGAGTAGCTAGGATTATAGGCGTGAGCCACTGGTGCCCGGCAGTGGGATTCTTTTAAATCATGTGTTTTTCCCAGCTATGTAAGGCACAATGGTATTTTAATGGGTTTGGTACGATAACTTCTCAATGATTCTTAAGCAGAAATTTTTTTTCAGACTTGATGCTAATTTTACATACCTTTTCCTGAAACATGTAAGTTGTGTTATTCTAGATTGTGGTAGAATAGCTCCTCTAAAACAAAAGTGATTCTTTTTTTTTTTTTTTTTTTTTTGCTGGTTATGGGACCTGAACTCTGGGCCTGGGCACTGCCCTTCAGCGCTTCAGCTCAAGGCTAGTACTCTACCACTTGAGTGAGCCACAGCACCATTTCCAGCTTTTTCTGTTTATGTAGTGCTGAGGAATTGAACCCAGGGCCTCATACATGCAAGGCGCAAGCACTCTACCACTGAGCCACTTCCCAGCCACACAAAAGTGATCTCAAGATTTATTACTTTAGCCCCCTCTCTTTCATTTCCTGATGTTCCATTTGCATAGATTGTTTTAGGTTTCTAAGCACAATTTTCTTAGAGTGGTTTGTGGAACATTCACCTTTTTCCATAAGGCCTTTCATAACCATGTCAGAAATAAGTGAAGTTAGGCAGGCATGGTGGAACATTACTTGAACTAGTTAGTGAGCACATGACTGTGAATTAAAATGTCAATTAGCTGAGATGCATTGATCTGTTCCACAGTTCAGTAATCTTCATCACTTTGACAATCTTGCAGTGGCTATGATATTCCTCTCAACCCACTCCACCTCATCCCGTTCTACACGGGCTCCCGGCACCACGATTTCCACCATATGAACTTCATCGGAAATTACGCATCCACGTTTACCTGGTGGGATTCCATCTTCGGAACTGACGCTCAGTATAACGCCTATAATGAAAAGATGAAGTCTAGGAAGAAGATGGAATAACTCTTTTCTCAGGCCTTTCCAAAGACACACATTCCCCTGAATTGAAGCTAGTAGCTAACATTGCTTCTGGAGAGCAGAAATCACCATGTGTCTTGGCTGCTAAGTGATAGGGAACATTAACCACCTTCAATTGTCTTCCTGGGACCTTTCCTACTTCTACGAGGTCTGTATGTGTAGGAGTCCATTTAAGTACGGTTTTCGTGAGGGAGTCTTGAAGGCCGTGCTTCTAACCTTACAAAAGGTTTGAAGCAACAGAAAAAGTATTTATCTGTCTTTTCCCCAGTACTGCCAGAGGCCTGAGATTGGCATTAGTCCTTAAATCTTCTAGATATGTATGCACTGGTCATTTTGGAAAACTGGCAGTAATTACATTGGCCTTTTATTTGGCCTTAAAGATTTTTACAATTTGCCTAAAACAAAAATATCATGAATTAAACCCCATCAGCCAATTCAGTGGGTGATTGGAGCTATGAGGTCAGGAATCATCAATGCCAAAACCTTCCACTCGTGTCTGGAGCTGACCCAATGAAAGTTGGGATGACCTCTCTGGAGAGTCATTTTCAGGTCCACCACTGGCATCTACAAATTCAAGATTTCTGACTTAATAAAAATGGAGTATTTTAGTCTAAAAGTTTTTCAGACTTTTGATTTTTTTTTTTTTTTTTTTGTAATTAAGGCGCTTTCTGCTATTTACCCTTTCATTTTTGTATATCAGGTTTTCAGTAAAACTTAGAGCTAGAACTTGAACATTTGTGAACTGGTGTCCTGTATTTGCACTTTGAGCTCTTGAAATAAATGTGATTTTTGTCTATCTGATTTCCAGTTTTGAAACGTAAGCTTGTCATGTTTTATTCTTATAAGGAAAAATGCAGGTCATTAAATTATTCTATAAAAGGAATGATTCTGATTTTGATGCTTCCTTTGTTACTCTGATGGTGGTCTCATTGTGTGGTTATCAGAGTTTGCTTTTAGTTTTGTTTGAGACCAGATCATAACCTTGGAGCCCAGACTGTCTTCCCACTGTAGATTCCCAGCCGCCTCTTGAGAAAGGGGATTTCAGGCCTCACCATCACACCCAGCCATCAGGGTTATGTTTTGGGACATTTCATTGAGCCAGTGAAGATAGAAGATACGTCTTTGAATGTTTTCCAGATAGAAGAATGATTACAGTTGTGAGCCAGTGAACCTGGCGAAAGTCAATGTTTGTAATAGCATCTTAGGGTGGGAGTGGCAGTTCAGCTGCCCATTGGATCTTTGTTGGAGAGGTAGCAATCTGAAGTGGTATATGCTGGAGAGCGGAAGTGATTTCTCTCATCTGAAAGAAGAGGAAGACCTTGGGAAGAAAGACAAGAATGACAGGCCCAGGTGAGCACCATGAAGAAATGCAGGGAGTTTTGAGTCACTGCTAACTTTTCCCTCCCTCCCTCCCTCCCTCCTTTCTTCTTTCTTTCTGAAAATACCGTACAGAGGAGTTACAATTACATGGGCAAGATAGTGAGTACATTTCTTATCAAGCATTGTAGCCTCCTCCTTTGTTTCCCCTTCCTATCCCTTCCCATATCCCGCCCTGCCAAAGTTGTAAAGTTCGTTTTTTTGACATAATGACTTGTACATCTCATTGTTGCAATGGGTCCACCTGTATCCCTATTTAAACGATTTGTTTTTTCCCTTCTCCACGAATTATACCAACATCAAATACAGTGAAAGCATGGGTTATATGGAGGGGGAGGAGGGAAGGACATACAAAGCAACAAAGAAATCATCTTATAAATACGTTAGAAACTCATGAAAGTAAAAAACATTTGAATACTTATCTTGAGGTTCATTTCACCTAGCATCAACATATCTGACCTTTTCTGCTTGTCTCAGACATACATTAGTTATTACAAATAAGGGAAACCATGGAGCCTATGTTTCTTTGGGCCTGGCTTACTTCACTTCATAGAATTTTTTTCCATGTCTTTACATTTCCTAACAAATGGGGCAATGTCATTCTTTCTGATGGAGGCACAGAATTCCATTGTGTATATATACCACATTTTCTTGATCCATTCATCTTCTGAGGGGCATCTGGGTTGATAGCTGGGTTGGTCCTGGTAGCTTTAGTAGGGTCTTGCTTGTGATCATTTGGGTAAATGCCCCAAAGAGGGATTGCTGGGTCAGGGAAGCTCTATGTGAAGTCTTTTGAGGAACCTCCATTCTACTTTCCAAAGTGGTTGAACAAGTTTACACTCCCAGCAACAATGCAGTAGGGTTCCCCAATGTTTTGATTTGCATTTCTTTTATGGCTAGAGAGGTTGAGCATTCACAGCTAACTTTTCTTTATGCCACATACATGAACATCATATCCCTCACAAACTCCTTAAGGGTTGAGGTCCTTATTGCATAGATGAGGAAATGGGGAACCAAAAGTAGAGGCAGCCTGGAGTGAAAAAGTTAAAGGACTGTATCCCAGTCCCTGAGTTCAAGCCCCAGTACTGGCACACAGACACAAAATTGATAAATAAAACTAGATTGCAGCAATGTGGGCACACCTTATGAATATATTAGAAGACACTGAATATGCTAAATAACTGTAGTAGTCTATATTCCGAATGTAGAAAAAGACATACTGAAAGCACTGAGGAGAAACAGCACCTAGCAGCTGTTTGTCCACGGGTGACAATATTTTCTCTGGAGCTATGGTTCCCAAAGGATGCGGGAACTACATTTATTGTGAATTACCGTGTGAATTGCCTTAGTTTCTCCAACTGAATCTGTTTCAGTCAAGTGGAAATAATGCTTATCTCAAAAGATTTTCAGAATTAGCTGGGTGCCAGTGACTCACGCCTATAATCCTAGCTACTTAGGCTAAGATCTGAGGATTACAGTTCAAAGCCAGCCCAGGCAGGAAAGTCCCTGCAACTTACCTCCACTTTGGCTCAGGTGGTAGAGCACTCACCTTGAGCTGAAGAGCTGAGGGACAGCGCTCAGGCCCAAAGTTCAAGCCCCACGACCAACCAAAAAAAAAAAAAAGGTTTTAAGAATTAAACACAGTTAACTTAAAAAAAAAAAAATCTTAGCAGAGTACCCAACTCAGAAACAGAGTGGCAAAAAGTAAGGAAAGCAGCTGAGGCTTAATTTTTTTAATTACTTCAAAATGTTGGTCCAAGAAAATAAGCCCCGCAGAGCCTTTTTGTTGTGTGATAGTATTTCACTGTGGACATAGTTTTTATACATATAGCTTTTGAAAACCTTTCATATAAAATGTGATGGGTACAATTGCATATTTAAGCTATCTGTTAGTTCATAGCAGATAATTTAGTAGTTTTGCTTAGAGATAAATACTTGGTCCATTTTATTTTCGGCTCAACTGGAAAATTTACATTAAAATTCTGTTCAAGCCAGGCGTAGGTGGCTCACACCTGTAATCCTAGCTACTCAGGAGGCTGAGATCTGAGGATCACAATTCAAAGCCAACCTGGCCAGGAAAAGTCCATATAAACTAGTCAGAAAACCAGAAGTGGTGCTGTGGTTCAAGTGGTAGAGCGCTAGCCTTGAGCTGAAGAGCTGAGGGACAGTGCCCAGGCCGAGTTCAGCCCCATGACTGACAAAAAACAAAATTATGTTCACAATTTTTATTCATCTTCCCAATTTTAGTCTGAATGAATCATATCTTACTTTTAAAAACATGTTTGTAAACATATCTTTAACCCCTTTCTGTCTGTCTAGCATCTCTTATAACACATCTAAAATGAAAGTTATTTTTTCTATAGTGGTTTGAGAGAGTAAGATAACTGGAATTAAGTGGTCTAGGTGATTGTTACTTTATCCAGGGGACTTTTTTGCCTTTATTTTTCAGACTGATCTCGCTATATAATCCTTCAAGGATTATAGATATGCTGGGATTACAGGACCAAGCCCTGCTAAAATGAAGTCATTTCATATTTTAAAAAGAAATTGAAATTGGACACTGGTGGCTCACACCTGTAATCCTAGCTACGCAGGAGGCTGAGATTTGAGGACTGATACTCCAAGGCAGCCCAGATAGGAAAGGCTGTGAGACCAGGAACGTTGAGTAAGCGTTCTTGCAAGCGCTCACTCAGCAGTGAAGACAAGCAAAAGGATGGCAACTGTGTCGTGAGAACCACTATTAAGATATATCCCCAGCAGTGTGGCGCCACGCCTGCTGCTTTGGCGGCTTTAATTGTTACAGCCTGAACAGTCCAAGACTGAGAACTTGGCAGTGGTTACCACCCGATTCTGGCCAAGAGCTGTGAGGAGAAGGAGGTTCTTTTCCAGAAATAAGGAGCACATGAGGGATGTCACAGCACATTTCTTGGCCTTTGCTGAGATAGAGTTGTCCTTCCTCCCCTCCCTTTCCCTCCCTTCCTCCCCTCTCCCCCTTTTCCTTCCTCCCTCCCTCCCTCCCTTCCTTTCCTTCCTTCCCTCCTTCCTTCCTTCCATCCTTCCCTCCTTCCCTCCTTTGCTCCCTCCCTCCCTTCTTTCCTTCCTTCCTTCCTTCCTTCCTTCCTTCCTTCCTTCCTTCCTTCCTTCCTTCCTTCCTTCCTTCCTTCCTTCCTTCCTTCCTTCCTCCCTTCCTTCCTCCCCACCACCACCTTTTGAATTCAGTTTAGCTACCACAGAGCTATCTACCCAGCCCCTGGGGATTGCTGGAGTAATTTAAATGGCAGAGAAACAGATTTCAATTGAGGGAATAGCTTGATCTCTTCACAAATTTCAATAGTTAAATATTCATTTAGTCAATGAATACTTTTCATTTTTGTATCAAATTCTATGTAGCTACACTAGGGGGCGTGAGAGATGATATTTCTGCCTTGACACAATGTGTGGTGTAAGAGTGTGGCTTCTTAAGTTAGTACTTATTGAAAGTATTTATTAAAGAGGAGAGAGGCATAAGTTGCTTTGGGAACACATAGCAGCAGGGTATTTCTTACGTAGTGGGGGCTGTCTGGGAAGCTTCCCTGAGGAGGTAATGTGTATGTGAGATGAGAATGACAAAGCGTACTGAGAAATGAATGTGACAGAGTCATCCCAGCAAAGCAAACAACTCATGCTAAGGTCAGGGGGAGAGAGAGAGAGAGAGAGAGAGAGAGAGAGAGAGAGAGAGAGAGAGAGAGAGAGAGGATAGAACATACCAGATACTAAAGGAGGCACCAAAAATCAAAACAAAAGCAACAAAAAAAAATTGTCTTCCAACTTCTAATTTCATGCTTTTGCACATGACAGAATTTATTTATTTATTTATTTAGCCAGTCCTGGGGCTTGAATTCAGGGCCTGGGCACTGCCCTTGAACTTTTGCTCAAGGCTAGCACTCTACCACTTGAGCCACAGCGCCACTTCCAGCTTTTTCTGGCTATGTGGTACTGAGGAATCGAACCCAGGGCTTCATGCATGCTAGGCAAGCACTCCACCACTAAGCCACATTACCAGCCCCATCCACTATTTTTTAATGGATGAATTACATTCCATCATGTATGGATACTACATTTTCTTTATTCATTAATCTTTTGTTTTGTTTTGTTTTGTTTTTGGGGTCTGTTCCTGAGACCTGCACTCTGGGCTTGGGAGCTGTCCCTCAGCTCTTCAGCTCAAGGCTAGCGCTCTACCACTTGAGCCACGCCACTTCCAGCTTTTTTCTTTTTGCTTATGTGGTGCTGGGGAATCGAACCCAGGGCATCAGGCATGCAAGGCAAGCGCTCTACCACTGAGCCACCTTCCCAGCCCAATATTCATTAATCTTATAACGCACAGTGGGGGTTAATTCCAATCTTGGTGATTTCAAATAGTGCTGCAGTAAATGTGTGAGTGTAGA